AATAAAAATCCCTAAAGTTTCGACGCAAGATAGAAAGTGTAGTTAAAGTTTAATTAAAAAATGGTAAATTTATGAGAGGGCACATCCATTTTGATAATAGAATAGGAAAAGGAGAAAAACGCGATTAATGGTGGTTCTAACTTTGTACCACGCTTAGGGCATTATATAGATAACTACCCATTATATAATGTTAGGTACTGTTTCAAAGAATCTCGTCTTATGCAAGTTGTACGCTTTTAGCAAGGTTTTACAGAAAAGTATTATTATCTGCGTAACAACACATTTTGATAAAAGTTATGGAGTCGAGTAAGATCTTCTCGACATTGCGTTTATGCAGGTTGCCGAAAACGTTTCATATTTATTGCAATTGGTGTAGCGGTTTTACTGTCCATTAAATCCGAATATTTCGCCGTTCCTTTTGACTATTTATTTATAATTTCGACCGCTTCGTCCCACTCTTTTTCTAGTCATTCCAAAGGCAACACACTTAATCTACTTACCCTGACCGTGTTCATTTAACACGACCATGTGCTAATTACAACTATGTATGTGTCAAATCAGGCAAAATGATTTCCTTTGCCGTAGACTTACTTTTTGACAATCCTAGCTTTTGGCTATTAACTTTGACTTGGGCTTTATTTAGGATTTACCGAACCCAAGCTACTTCAACCTGAGCCTTACTTTAGTTGTAGGCCAGGTGCCGGTACCTCAAGACCTGATCCACGGCCGACGGCTTCCATCGATCTCACGTGCATGGAAGTTGCAAAGATAACTCACAGATTATCCTTTAATGCAATGTTAATTCGTTTGCCAAAAATTAATCATAATGCATACGGCTGTTAGTTTCATTTCCCATGCCTACTGGCGAGGAAGTATTGTAATCGCAAAAAAATTAGAACAAGAGATATTATGTTTTTTGGATGGTATACGACATGTACATCACGAAAAACCATGTCACTCATTTAGGTACATCGGTCTCTCTGCAAATTCTTGAGAAGTATCTACTGCTCGGAATGAAATCCTTAAATACGGTTACTAAAGGGTGTCTCAATAAGAGCGTCGGATTTGATTTAAAAAAAAAATGCTCTTTCTTTTCGAATTAAGCGAGTATTTATATTTCAACATGAAGAGAAATAGTTGCGATTAAACCCGAAATAGGACATCCGGCAAATGGCCACCACGAAACCTCTGGGATAGGGTCAGTCTTGTCTTAAAATTCTGGATAACGTCTTCGCACAACTGTGGCTCTAGGTAGGAAAAGGAAGAAGTCCATTGGCGTTAGACCGCACGACCTTGGTGGATAATTTTTATCTCCAAACCGAGAGATGACACGGTCTGGCAACTTGTTTGAACTATTGTGTCGCGTGCTGTGTGGCAGGTTGCACCGTTTTGTTGGAACAACATATCCTCCACATCGATTCGATCCAACTGGGGCCACAACAACTCCATTAACATTTCGCGATACCGCACACCATTAAGAGTTACCGCAGTTCCAGCTGCATTTTGGAAGGAATACGGTCCAATCACTCCGCCACTCCACAATGAGCACCAAACGGTAACTCGCGGCAGATGCCTTGGTTGTTCGATTATTACACGAGGGTTTTCAGAATCCCAAATTCGGCAGTTCTGCTTATTGACGTACCCATTACCCGTTCAGTTAAAAATGTGCCTCATCAGAGAAAATGATTTACTTCGAGAAATCCGTATCAATTTGGTGGTGGTCCGTTGGCTTGAGTTCTTGCATCAGTTGAACCTTGCATGCAACTACAGATCTTTTGTCAAAATTCGCTGGAGCGTGGATCTGGTAAGGTTCAATTCTTAGACACGATGCCAAATGGGGGTGCCTGGATTCTCGGTCACAATCTCTCTCACTGCGACTAACATATATCGTCGAGGCACCGACCAGGTCGGCGACGAAAAGTGGTCTTCACATTCAGCAACGTGAATTTTGTCTCAAATTTCCTAATCAAACGGCGACCTGTCTACTCATTTGTACGTAATTTGCGAACTGTTTCCGCGTAATTTTCTCCATTTTTGTAGTGAGATTTCACATTAATTAAACGTTGTTCGTATGTTCGTTTAAATACTGCTCCATGACGTCTAATCGCGCGGTCTGGACATGACAGCTGTCATCAAGTAAACACCATACCATTTGTAAAAAAGCTCTTGTTGACTCTTTATTATACGAAAAGACGGAAAGCAGATGGAAAAGCTTTGTAGTTTTTTAAAATTGGTCCAGTGGCGGCGGAGGAAAATGTCGTGCAAACTTCATTTTTTGGCCACATACTCGGTGGGCACTACATTAACTGTATATATGAGTATTACACTTTAGAGTGAAAATCAATGAGGTTACTTAACTACGTGAATCAATATTATATAGAATGTACAGGGTGTCCCAAAATTAAAGGGTATTCCTTCAACTCTAGACAGGCCACGTCATGGCCTCCTAGAAAGTAAAATATTGTTTCATTAAAAGTCTTGGTTTTTGAGATTTTCAGCATTCATTTTTATTTTGAAAAACTAGCTACAATCTACAAATATCAACTTTTTTGAATCAGTTTTGTTTTAGAACACTCAGAATTAAGCATAATATCCCGTTCAGAACTTTTTACAAACTTTTACATAAATTGCCACAGTGATAGTACTTGATCCTCTCACTCTACAGGGTGTCAAAGTCAGCCGTGCGAAGGGGTTGTAATAAAAACTTGGCATGACTTTTATGTGAGTTCTTCGCCACCTCAAGAACAATAATACAGTACGAGATAAAGTGCTAAATTCTAAGGGTTTTAAAATAAACCAGGATCAAACAATTTGATATTTGTAGAAACGGCACGGTGTTAACTGAATAAGAGGCTGTTTTTAAAAAATAAAATAGAATGCGGAAAATCTCGAAAACCGTAAGGCTTTTATTTTAATAAAACAAACGTTTACCATCTAGTAGGCTACAACGTGACCTATCTACAGTTGCAAGTCTATCCTTCAATTTCGGGACACACTGTATATAGTATATAAGTACCTACCAATCTGAGAAATCCTTTATTCATGAAAAGCCTGAGTAGTGCACTAATGTAACCAACGCCTTTTCCGAAAGCGTGTGAAGTATAGAGTCAATCTACTTCTACGTTCTGTTCCGTTTTTCTCTCTAGTCTGGCCATGTCATTGTCAATTTTTGTCTTTGTCTTTGAGCCTCTTGCCTCCATCTGAGCTTCTGGAAGCTAGTTATCGCCTCTTTTCTATGTCAGAGGTATATTATATACGTACTACCTTTCGGAGCATACAAACAGCGGTTATATGCCCCATTAGGATAGCGCCATCTATGACACAGTATCAGAACCAATCACTCTAACCTTAAAGTATGTTTTTAAATTTATGTTTGTGTTCTGCTACTATCTCTTAGACCTCTTAGGCTGCCGTAATACAGTATATGGTTGGCTGTTTCCAAGTAAATTACGGTAATTCAAAGGTAATTCATGATGATGCCACAACAAGTTTGGTACAACTTTTTCTATAGTAACTGCTTTAACTGTATCATGAATGATGGTATAATATTTATAGTAAGATATGTTATATTTTTGTTCGGAGGGAAAAACGGGTTTGTTTTGCCTTTGGGCACATTTCATTTAATAAGTAGGTATAATTATGAAACCCAACTAATAAAAACGCTGATATACATACCTACTAATCAAGTCAATTTATGACTACTTCTTCTAAGGATCTAGCAATTATGAGTTCGTTTCTGCGGATGCCAAGAAGAAATATACCAATTAATTCTGATATGATTATGTACAATCATATCCGGTAGTTGTTTTTTAATGGTGCGTATTATTGCGAAACGAATATCACGAGCAGCTAACGATGGAATTCGAAAAAAAATGCTAGGCCTACCACACAGACTCACCAGCATTATACTTTTTATTTCAACTCTAATATGTTAGATCAATGTCACACCCATCTTAACCCCAACTTTTTACCTCATGAAGGTTATCAAAAACTGATCAGGAGTCTCTGATACGTCCAAAAAACTAGTTTGGGCTGGTTGGATTTTCAAAACCTACAACATTTTTCCGTCCTTGGCAAGTAGTACCTTTTTATCAAAATTTAATGGAAATTGTACGAGTAGTACTTTCCCCCCACTACAAAGGGACCAAGGAATAGCAGACAGACAGACAGACTAATGACAATTAGTGACATGGTTTTCGTGTTTGGTTTCGCATCCAACTAATACACACAATAACAAATTCAAGCGAATAACCAAATGAAAATGGTATATAAATGGAATGGGAAGTAAAAAATTTAAGCTTTTTTATCACAACCTCGAAAATACGTTGTCCATTATATTCCATGAAAAATTCTCGTCGTTTACAGCTCACAAGTCAGTCCTAAACTGCTCTATCGAGGCCATAAATAGCCTCTGTAGTTGCAAGTGCCTCATTTATGTCTCATTATGTCCAGGCCGATAAAAACCGGTCCTCGTTAATTCCAGTCATAACGCAGTTACCAACCGTGCGGCTGAAATTAATAAAAACATAAACACATAACAACTTGCCGATAAGGTCTCTGCTATCACGCAAGAAAACCATGAAATAAGGTCACATTTCCTTCGATGTCACGAAACTACGATTGTGTGTTGTACTTTTATAGGACTATTTTGCTAATCTATATCTACATTTTAGTTGACCATACAGACAGAAATTACACTTGCTGGTGGCAGAGTTCTAATCATGTGAGAGGAATGCTTCAGGCTTCTGCTTCTCATATTTACTCTGACACACCTGTTTTTCCAGAGCTAGCCGGTACCATCATACCTTCGTCCTTGGGGCACCAAGAATTTGGAGTAATCGGACATGTTTAGCGCACAAGAAAAATGATATACGAATGGTTCCATTTTAAATTTAAATTTTTAATTCTTGGAAGCAAATTAAAAGGGCAGATTATTAGTCAAATCGGTATTTCCGGTTATCTTTAACAAGTAATTTTTTCTATTTAGGGCTCTATCTTCGGGTTCTGATTTACATCTGGGACTTCCTACCAATGAACTGTCAACACTGATGGAATCGCCCCGTCCCATTTGTACAATGAAAAATGAAACGATAATGCGTCCAACATGCGACAAAGAGGTCCGAGAGAGAGAGAGATGGAGCTAGTCAGGGCAAAAAGAGTGCGGACTTGAATGAATTGGATAGGAAACCGAGGATTCTTAGAGAAGATTTAAAAATTATTCAGGCAACTGGAACGAGATAAAATCCTGGAAACGTAATTATAATTAAAATACCAAGTTTATTTATTTATACATACATATGAATAAAACTTGACAATAAATAATCCTTTACACATTTGAAGATATAAAAATTAGTAGCTAACATAAGTAATTAATAATTCAGGTAGCAAAGAGTTTACATGTCTGCTTATAATTAACATAACTGCTCTAATATGCTATATCTTACATATAAAAAATAAGAGATCTAAGAAATATCACAATAAATACATGTTATTTTCTATATATCTTTATTTATGCACATTTAAACTTAATTTTATAGTACTGTAGCTGTCGACACTAAATGAAGTGGGAACACGTCCAGTTTTGTAGAGATTAAAGTGTGCAAACAATACTGTAAATGCACAGTTTTCCATTATAATACAATATAAGTTATCCCATAGTTCATTCTAGAAATTATGTCCCTGGTAAAGAAATTAAATGGAAGTTTTAAAAGATTATTATTGAGTAGTGGGTTCACCTATGAATTTATATGTTTATACCTAATTTAAAAATTGCCGATTTACTAATTTTTAAAATGAATCGTTTTTGTTAACCTTTGCCTAATTCTGTCTGTTATTTGATTTTTTGTGGAATTTATGTGGTGAAGCCGAATAGTGATATAATTTTTCATGATAAGTCTGACCAATTGAATGATATGTCCATCAAGTGGGTCTTGCTCTACAGAGTGTTTAGATAAACATAAAAAAACCTCGTTCAAATTTAAATTTCTCATTGCAGCAGAAACCAATCTTAACATTATATTAGGATGAGAAAAGTCTGTTTCAGTTTTTATTATACCTTCTGCAACCATACAAATTTTTACAACATCATTTGTAGGCTTGATTAAACCTCCTCTATTTTTCCGATTCAGCAGCATGCAATCAGAATCAGATGTTGTCACTGAGCGGGCACATTAATTACAATTCAAGGTTTGAACAATTTTGTTGCTAACAAAACCTGCTATAACTACATCACAAATATATACACAATTTAAAATTTTGTTGTGATTGACAATATACTGCTCCTGCAAATTAGGGGAAAAATCTTCATCAAATTCGTACAAAAGATCAAAGCAAGGGTTTTTCTTTTTTCTGGAGGAGACATTTAAAATAGATGTATGATCCATAGCAAGAAAATATGCACTTTCAGACGAAGCAGTTTCGCTGTGAATTAATACCCTCTTATACGCTTGTTCAAAATGCCAAGCTGTTGGGATTATTTGAAAATCCTCCTCTACTGCGTATTGCTGCAAAAAACATTTCCAAATGATCCTGGCTTAATTTATAGGTCAATAAAAAATTTAATACTTCACCTTTCACCAAATCCTCGAATAAGTTTTTCACACTAACTAAACAAATTATCAAGTCCAAAAAACCAGTTTTTCTACTGGTTTCTAATATATTAACACCTGGAAAGGTTGTTAGTGTGCTTAAATATCTAATAGAATTATTTACAAAATTAGAAATTCCTTATTACCCCTATACAAAGTTTTTTTGAACTGGGTGGTGCCAAAAACGTTTCTTACATTTAACAGATCAAATATATCATTTATATTTCTGCAATATGTTGCAGTGGCTTCGGCATATTGAAAAGACGTATATTTAAATCTTTTGCACAATACTCTAAGGCATCAGTCACACTTGAACTAAATTTTTGTACTGCTAACTTTACTCTCATTTTTTCTTAGTAGTAGTTCAAGTGTCTCCTCCTCAGCTTGATGGCGCAATGTAGACCTGTATCCTCTTGCAAGTTGACAAGCTGTTTGAAATATTCCCACCTAATATCAGTGCCTCCACCATCCTTTAAAACATCATAGTCACCTGAAGTATTGGGCACCAATTTATTCATGTGACAAGCATCTAATATTATATCTATTTTCTCATTATTGAGAGAGTTTATGAGAAAAGGCCTTAGTAGATGGAAGAGTCAAATTTGCACCTAATAAATTGGCCATAAGGATATCGGATGCATCACCATCAAAAGTCAAACTCTTAATTAACATTCCAGTGCTTTCTAATTGCAGTAAGCAGCCCCTCACAAAGGTAGTCTTTTCTTCAGGCGATGAAGATTCTACTAGAAAATATGCTATTGGAACTTTCCATCTACTGTTAATGCAAACAACTATGAAAACTAATGCTTTTGTAGCCTTTGGGATCTCCTCACTGCTTTGCATTGCAACACCAATATTTATGTGGCCTACTAATCTACTTCCTGTCCAATGTACATGCTGACGAATATACATTTCATACATCATCAAGGCACCAGCAAGCTGTTTTCTCTTTTGTCTATCAACATCCACCTTAAATTTGATAGCACTATATCCAGGTGTACCATCCACAACCCTATACCATTTTGAGTCCGTGGATGTGGTAGAACATTTTTTCCAAATATTTTTCTAACATAGTTATTATTATTATTATTATTATTATTATTGAGATGAGCAGAGTACACAGTACTATAAGCTCATGCAGTAAATATAGTGTACGGATACGTAACACAAATACATCAAATAGAAAAAAATAAAAAAAATACAGTTCATAGCTATAAAGTTTGTACACTCCTCCAGCTATCATACTGCACTTTGAAGCTATTAACTGAAGTAGCACCAACCACACTTTCAGGTAAACTATTCCAGGTGTTGAGTATGCGGTTGGGAAGAAACCACTGTCGGACTGTTGTTTTAAATGGCTCCTTATGCAGTTTGAAGCTGTGTCCGCGTAGATTGTCGCGCGACAGATGGTATGGATGCATGAGGTTGGTGCCCATCAAACCATGAAGTATCCTGAACGTAACTATAAGATCGCCACGAAGTCTTCGCTCAGAGAAAGAGGTCAGGTTGAATAATTCAAGGCGATCTTCATAGCTTGGTCTTCGTGCTCCAAAAGGGATACGAGTAGCCCGACGCTGTACTGATTCGACGAGATTTCTATCGCGCAGAAGCACAGTGTCCCATACCGGGCCAGCGAATTCAAGAATTGGCCTCACGAATGCCTTGTAAATGTAGGCGCAAGTGTTGACATCGGATCCTTTGAAAGACCTCTCCAGCATATATAGAAGTTTCTTGGCTTTTGATGTAACGTGGTGAATATGCTCTGACCAGGAAAGACGATCGTTGACTACAACGCCCAGATCAGTGTGGCTCGAAACTGCTTCGATGTTGTGGTCAGAGATCTTGTATGTAAATCGCGGATTTGTCTTCCCGAGGTGAAGGACACAACACTTAGTTAGATTTAAGGGTAAAAGCCAACTGACTGACCATTGACAAACAATATCAAGATCTCGTTGAAGCATAGCAGAATTTACGACAGTATTGTAAATCTTGGTGTCGTCGGCATAAGCTGAACATGTGGAGGAAATCAATGCGGGCAGGTCACTTGTATACAGAAGGAACAGCACTGGCCCCAAGACAGAGCCTTGAGGAACTCCACTTGCTACATGATGAAGGTGAGACTGGCTATCACTGACGCGCACAGAGAAAGTCCTCCCGGTGAGAAAAGCCTTAATCCACAGTAACAACTCGCCTCTTATTCCCATACATTCCAACTTAAACAGAAGCCTTCTATGTGGTACGCGATCGAAAGCCCTAGAAAAATCTAAGTAGATTATATCAACAGGAGTCTTTGTGTCCAGATTCTGAGTCCAATCGTTGAGAGAGTGGAGAAGGTTGGTCATTATTGATCGACCAGGGAGAAATCCATGCTGATTCTCAGGGATAGGGTCATTTTCGAAAGCAAATGACTGGAGCTTATCTAATATGATTCTTTCAGCTATTTTGGCGGCGATAGGAACGAGACTTATTGGTCGATAATTTTTAGCGGAGGATTTGTCGCCCTTTTTGAATACAGGGGTAACAGAAGCACTAAGCCAGCATGAGGGTAGGGTATGAGATCTAAAAGACGATGTGAATATCAAGCTTAATGGTAGGGCCAGTGCTGAAGCGCAGTTTTTAAGTACAGCAGCCGTCATCCCATCTTTACCAGGGGAGGAAGAGGTCTTCAGATTTCGCAGGTGCATTAATACATCTTCAGGCAGGAACTCAACTTCGCAAAGGCTGTTGGGACACCTATCGCAGATAGTGGTCGATAGAAGGTCTCCATTAGGCTCATCGACGAAGTCATCACTAAAGGACTCTGCCAGTAAGTTGGCAGATTCGGTGGCATCCATGTGGAGATGACCGTCAGCGTCGCGGATCTGAGGTGATGAAACTTTGGAATTCAGGTTTGTTCTTAGATACCGAAACAGCTTCTTCTTATTTTTGGAGGTAACGAGTTTTCGTTCATAAGCATGTTTGGCATTATGTAACGTTCTAGATAGGAGGTTAGAAAAGGATCGATGAGACACGTAATCTTGTGAATGGCCACTCCTCCTAAACCGTTGCCACAAAGATCTCTTGTGACGAAGCATCCTCGACATGTTAGAGTTGATCCAGGGCTTTGAGGGGTCACAGTATACCTTCTTTTCAACAGTATTGTCAGCCGTTTCGCTTAGGACTCGTTGAGCGAAAGTGTCCCACATATCTTGGGTGCTACGGTTGTTAAGCAAAGCAGGCCAGTTGACTTCAGACAGGGCTTGGTTAAGAGCAACGTGGTTTACAATTTTGATGGTTTTAAACTTATCGGTTGTAGAACGACTATTTATATTGAACTGGAGAGAAGATAAAAGTGAACAATGGTCAGACTTGCCAAAAGGTGGCAAATAATCTAAATTAGAAACAAAGTCTGCGTCGTTAACGAATATCAAATCCAGAGCCCTAGGCGTCTGTCCTTCCCTGAATCTCGTTGGACGATCAACAAGTTGAGATATGCTAGAGTTGCGTAGCAAGTCGATGTAAGCAGCAGAAGAAGAATTGCATTCAGGAATGGTTGACATAGGCCAGCTAATGTCACGTAGATTGAAGTCACCAGCTATGAAAAGGTTGGTGTTTTTATTTAAGAGATATGAAATGAGACTGCACAGGTGTGTGTCTCCCAAACAGGGCCGTGGCCGATATATGCAGCCTATCGTGAAGCTGAAATTTGGGCACCTCAATTCCAAAAATAGATTGTCAATGCCATCGAAAGGACTGAAAGAGGGAGATACCGAGAAAGCCGACGCGATTTCCGTGCGAACATAAATGCATAGTCCACCAAAACCAGGAGTGCGTGGTGAATCCATTCTGTATAAATAGTATCCATGCAAATTGATGGAAGAGTCGGACACGTTGGAATGGAGCCATGTTTCAGTAAGACAAACGAACGTTGGATTATTGTCTCGAACAAATGCTTGGAGTAGCTTAGAAAAGAGAGATTGTATATTAGTGTAACAAACCGTCCAGTTTGCCACAGAATTTATCAGTTTTTTGAAGGTATGATCTCCTGGGTAGCTGTGTGGTTTACAACGAACGTATTTTATAGTAATATTACTTTCGCCTGTTGTTTGACGACGTCTAAGCTCTCCGCGAAGGTGTTGTAGTTCTTGCATTTGACCTCTGGTTTTGTCGTCAGAGATTTTTACGTGACGAAGCGTGGGGTGGCTAAGGATGGAGTTTTTCTTCCGCAAAATATTGTATGCTGATAATGAATAAAAATTCAATGTTAGTGCAAAACACCTTAATTCTGGGCTATACTTGTTAGGTTTTCCTTTTTTCAACTGCCTGGAAGGCAGTTGCTTTTGGGTTTCTGGGAGACTTTCCTGTAAAAACAAAATGTATGCATGCATCATAATTTCTAGCTAAGAAATTCATGCATTAAATGTAAAACCTAAATACTGTGATGGTAAAATGATCACTCTAGCTAGTAATCAATAGATATTCAACAGAGTTCAACAATTGAAATGAAAATTTTACAAATGAAAATAAACAACAACAAGGTAACAATTGTAGGAGCAAACTATCTGTTCATCAAACGTCTACCTTCAATACTATTGATTGAGCTGCAGATATTCTCTTCTCCTTAAGTAGTTCATTTACCAGACTATTTAGACTTTTTATTTTATTTCTTTGTCAACGAATTTTACACTGATTGTACTTGTTAATTTTTTTGTACTTATGAACAGTTTCATAAGCAGTTTTTCAAAATCTCTTCCGACGCTGCACATTATTTAAATCAGAAATTTTGAAGTCCCCAAAGTATACTGGTGATCTTCTGACCCTACAAACAAAAAGAGGTTGTAACAAATGAGAAACACAAAGTTCAATGAAAATTACCTTAAATTGTATATGTTTGAAGGTTCACTTGATTCTAAAGATCCTAGTTTTTGTGTTACGTTTGAAGGACCAGCTGCCAATATATTTCCATCATCAGCATGAGGTCACATCTACCAACTGAGCACAGGGTTAGATACATTTGTTTTCCAAATTATAATAAGATATCCCGGGATAACACCGTAACGTGATAGTAAAGGTCATTAGCTTTGGCCTAACAGGAATGAACTTCTTATTTAGTTTTACTTAAATATAAGTCTTCTGTTTCACTTAGGAACTAAAACCCATTGTAAGATTCTACATCATTGAAATGGCTTGAGTTCTAGAAAGCGACAGGAAATGCCGTAATTGCAAACAATTATCAACACGAATAAGTGCCAAAGGTCACCGACATTGCAGACCTTTCTTTTTTCTTTTGAAATGCAATCTACTTCTATTCACAATATGATTCAATTAATTAATAAACGTACATATTAGAATATTTCCAAATGGTCTTTTTTATCTCGTGACCAATCTTTTCAATCATATTTCCAGGAAATTGATTTCTTCAAAATGCGAAAAACCGAGGCACGTCATTTACGCTAAACCGTCATATCTGCGACGCTGTTACCCCCACATTTGTTGCAATATCTGTGTTTGCGATTCTTTTTGCAAATTTAACAGCTTTTGATCATAAAATCGCCGCTATTTACACCCCCATTATCCATTTAACCACCCTTTCAGCAACTGGTCAGCGGGGTGCAATTCAGCACCTTTGCCCTTTGTCCAAAAGGCGTGCGCACCCATGTAATGCCATCCGGGGTGCATTTTTCTAAAGCAGCCCCACACATTCAACCCCCCTCCCTCTCCTCCGCTGATTTATGTCTAGGGGCTGCATGCCCCCTCATTTACAAAGTGGAAACTTATCTAATTACCCCCGATTGTGTTTCCGATACGGACCATAAACAAGGAAATGAAGATTTAGGGTGCGGGCCTGTAGAGACAACTTGGATATTCTAACGACTTATCGGGTGTTCTGTTTCTTTTAGTTTTTTTCCAAAAGCTATTCTGAATGTAGACGGTGACACGCTTGCATTCGTTTTTATCTATCCACACCCCTAATTTATGAATCTGGTAAGTTAAAAGTAGATGGCGTAGTTATATTGGCAGTGGTATATCGTATATCGTATAAGGTTTTATACCAGAATGTCAATATTGCTTATCAGTCATTCACCTCAATACACTTCAAAACGTGATGAAGTATCGTGAAAAACCTCTCCATTTTCCCATAGAGTTTTGACATTTTGATCTTCAACGTCACCAGCGCGTAGATAACCACATACCACCACAGTACTGTGCGTTGATGCTGTTCCTTGCCAGTTCTACTTGTATTTTGAGGATATTCTGACGTTATCATAATTGATGGTTACTCATGACTCAGCTTTGTTAGAAATTAAATGGTAGTGAAAGAAATATTGTAGCTCAGTTGGTGAGAACAGCAGGTAGAGTCACAAGCATCTTATGGAAACGTCAACTTGGGTTATTCTGGTGAATTTCATCAAGTAATAGTGGGTCGTTTAAGTTTGCCATATGTTGATACTACCTTTGTCCGCGATCTTACCCGCGGAACGTGTAGGTGATGCCACTAATGAAGTGAACAAATTTACCAAGCATGCGAGTTGGCTGTAAATTTACTAATGTCATTAAACATATAAAATATGGTCGAAAGCTCGAAGCACTAGCTAAGAACAATGTATTATTTTGCTAGTAACAGTTTCAAGCATACGAAGTGGTCAATAACAGCTGATATACAAAATGAAACGTCTGTAATGATTAACGGTCACATGCAGATAAAACCTTGCATATAACTTTCCCCGGGTATCAATTAGCAATTGTACAAAATTTTACATCTCTCTCTCTCCGGATTGTGGTTCAAACTGAATAGACAATCACATTTATATATGAACAAAAAGATATCGGACCACATAATATTAGAGTTTGCTAGATAACAGATAATTGTACCTTACCTGCCTAGCAGCATCATAGCGTGTATGAGAAACAAAGGTCAATCGTTTGGTAAATCGAGCCACGTACGCTTCTGCTTATTGGCTTCATCAGGCCCAAATAAATGTGCGTCGAACACACCGAAATGGAAACATATGCCCATCACATCTAGATACAGGTGTAGCCTAAAAGAAAACAAGGATGGAAAGGGAAATACAACTAGAAGCCACTAACAAGAGCCAGCAGAAAACCTCCCGTTTATGAGGTATCAACCAACGTCGGCACGGAGGCCAGCTATAACTACTTGCTGTGGTACTTCAAGCCCATCAGCCAAGGCAACAAGCACAAACACATCGCTTGGGTTCCCAATCCATGTACTTCTGCTGCTGTTCCTTTATTGCGGTCATGGCCACTTGTTCTTCATCTAAGTTTCCGCAAGACTGCTCATCTTTCTTTAAAGAGTGTACGACTAACAACAACTCAATAACTATTTATTCACAGTATTATACGTGAAATGAAATAAGACACCAAGCAGATCTAAGACGATTATGCTAAGATAGCGAATGTCAAAATGAAGTAAATGATACCTAATGTCCAATTCCATTAAGCTATTTCGGCTGTAGCCAGTTAAATAGGTATTTCAAAGTTACGAGCCCCTTTCCACTTCAGTTGGCCCGCTTCAAGATTTGTACCAAAATATGTATTATAAACTAAACATGGCAAAACTATTTACTTCTAAAACAATTTATTTTCTTAAAAACAGTTTAAATACACTCTAGTCGTAAAAAATACATATTTGAAATCACTTAGACCTATAACTTATAGAACATCTGAACAAATAAATAATGTGCAAATTAATGCGCGAAGTTAACAAAGCAACAATTGAAAGATCACCATTGGGTAACATCACCTTTATTTTTTATTACGGCATAGCGTTAACCAAGTTTTGGCAAAAATTTTATGTAAAACAATCCCATATTTCTTGAAGCTTTTGTCTCAGTTCGGTGATTGTACGAGCAGGATGTTGTCGTAGAACCTTTTTCATCTCGTGCCACAAAGTTTCAATAGGTGACAGATCTGGACTGCTAGAAATCCATTTCACAAGTGGTACATTATTTTCTTGCATCCATTTTATAGCCTTTTTTGAGGTATGGCACGCTGCACCATCTTGCTGAAACACAAAATCTTGGCCGGATTTCAAACATTCTTCCATCACTGGTAAAAGCGATTCTTCTAAAATTGCCTATTTGTTTGTATCCACATTTCCATCAATAAAATGAAGTTTCCCTACTCATTTTGATGACATACTGTCCCAGACCGTAATGGATGCTGGAAATTTCACTTTTCTCTTCAGACAGTCAACATGGAATGCTTCATTTTTTTGCGAATAACTCACCAACACAAACTTCGAATCGGGCCTCATCACTCCATTGTATTGCACACCACAGTTGAGGTGTCCATTGTCTATGTTCTTTAGCCCATCTAAGCCAATTTTTCTTTTGCAGTGGAGTTAATAGGTTTGGCCTATAAACAAGATGTGCAACTTTAGGGTTTTTACTTACCTTGCAAGTGCTAAATCCCAGTTTGTGGGCCTCTCTATGAGTTGTAGACCTCGAAATTCTCCTTTCAACAGCGTCACTCCACAGAGCACTTAATTGTAAATAATTGACACGCCTGTTTTTCACGAGTATTCTTCTTGATGCTCTTAGGTCGGCATTTGTGATATTACTTTTTTTCCACATATCGTGGCTTAATATTAACTGAACCAGTTACGTTACATCTTCTAACAATATTTCTCACACTGTACCGCGATAAGTCTAACAAAGTTGCAATTTCTTAGTTTGATTTCCCAGAATTAAAAAATTTAATTATCAGTAACCGAATTTTCTCACTAATAACCTTTCCTCTACCCATTTTGAAAACCTTAACTATCTAAAACTATTTTAAACGTATTCTGACAGCTGTGATTAATAAAAACAATTGTCATGGTTTTTCTTTTTCACAGCCACCTATGCGTTATAGACTTATTTTTCATTGAAATGAAAATAGGTTGATATGCTGTAATTGCAACATGTGTTATTTTTAAGCTGCAAATTTGATTAGGGTGTGATAAAGTTGGTGTTTTCTACTATATATTATCAAAATATTCATTGTTAATATTTTAGACCTATAACACCCTCCTACATTTTTATTATTTGTGTTTGATAAGAAAAAAACTAAGATTTCAATAGTTGGGCCAACTGAAGTGGGAAGGGGCTCCTATTTCCCGGGATAAAATGTAGCCTATGTGCTACTCCCGATTATAAGCTACGTCCCAAATTTCATCCAGATACGTTTAGCCGTTTTGGCGTGGATGAGTAATAAACATCCACACTTCCTCATTAATAATATTAGTGGGGATATAATAAGTGATTTCTAATTTTCTTGAAAGAGCATATACTCTTTTTCCACTATACCTATACAGTTAGTTACAACGAGAATAACACAGCTAGAGCGCTATAAGAAGCTTAAATGGCAATACCGTCTTGGTATTACCTGGTAAGGGCTAATCATGCTTCTGTTATGTCAATAAATGTCTATTTTTCCAGAACGGTGCTAACCTGGCATTTGCAAACTGCTAAT